CGGGCGGCCGCCTTGACCGCCTCCCGCGAGCCCAGGAGGCCCAGCTCGAAGGCCGTGCTCGGCCGGTCGCTGTAGCGCACCACCCCCACGCGCGTGCGGCCTGGGCCCACCTCGAAGGTGTCCACCAGGTTGGCCACCCACTGCCGCACCTTCTCGAAGTCCTCCTTGCCCACGCTGGAGGACGTGTCCAGCAGGAACACCAGGTCATAGTGGACGCTCTTGCAGCCTGCGGGGGACGGAGGGAGGGCGAGGTGGGGCTGGCAGCCGGGCCTGAGCCTGGACCCGCTCGTGTCCGGGCCCACACCGGGGTCAGGCGCGGCCCGATGCGGGATGGAGCATTCTTCCTCTCACCCTCCCTCACACCCCGTCCCTCACCATCACACATACGCACCCTCAGACCACACTCCCACAGTGACACACACACACTCACACTCAGATATTCACTCCTGCACTCTTACACACCCCCACACATGAACTCACTCTTACACTGCCCCAGTACACACACACTCTTACATTCTTGCACACCCACACATATTCACACATTCTTACTCCCCAGTAACACACTCACAGACTATCACACACATTCACCCTCCCATTCATACATAAAGCATGTATTCACACCATCTTACACTTTAGTGATACACAGGTAACACACAATCACATCATATTCACACACATCCTTACACACCCATATCTGCATTCATACTCTTAGTAGCACACTCACAGACTCACACATTCTCACACACCACATGTATTCACACATTCTTACACACACATCCTTACACACTCTCCCACTGTCCCTCCGATGGGGGACACATTCCTTTCTCACACGCTGTCCTAGATCAATAGCACTGGCCCTTGCACACACATGCACTGCTGACACCCACACAGCCTAACTGTGATCTCTCTCACAGTCCCACACCCCCACCCACCCCGACAGGCACACACTGATGTGCCCACCCCACAGTGCCCCACCTGCACGCTGGGCCTGGCAGCCCGCACGGCCACTCCACAGCAGACACACCCACAGGAGCCAGGGCACGGCGCTCCCTTGGGGGCGGGACATGGCTCTCTTGCTCTTGAAGACAAGCATTCCTTGGCCAGGAAGAGACTGTCAGTGTCTAGTAGAACATTTCCTGTGTGGAGAAAGAAACACCCTTAGGAAGTGCCCTGGAGTTGAAGGGCCATAAGAGGCAGCGCAGAATCCCGCCTACCCTGGCCTTGGGAAGTACTGTGGGTGGGCCCAGCAGAATCCTCGTGTCTGGAGGCCTTGCAGCCCCTCTTCCCTCCTCTGCTTCATCTGTGAGACATTCAATGACCAAAGCCAGAGTCTTCCCTGAAATGTTTCACCCATCTGTCTTCCCATCCACCCAGCCCACAAAGAAAGGCAGAGGCCCTACCAGGCCTACAAAGAAGAACAGCATAGTGCTAGGGACTGCACACCGCCCTGCCTGGAACTCCTCAGTAATGCGCTCTTTCCACCCCTACGAACATGACTCAAAGGGCTGCCACAGAGCAGGACCTCCTGCTCCTGACCTCATCCCTCTCCCCATTCACCCAGTGGCTGCACTGCATAGCTGTGAGCTTTCCAGCAATTTCTCCCTGAAACCAGGTCTCTTAAAGCCCCTCCTCTCTGAGACCCCACATTTGCTCTGAAAGCCTTGAGGATACTCAGCCCAAATTCTACTCCCTTAGGCTTTCCCTGGCACCTTCCTCCCTAGCCAGATGAGGCGCCATCCTTGACGACCTCCCGTGACCCCTGAGCTCCCACCTTGTTAGCTGTGGGTGCCACTCTATCCATTTGCCTCTTTGTCTGCCCCAGTCTCTACCAGATCCTCAGGGACTGATGCCAAGCAAACCAGTGGGCAGGGATTAGAGCCCGGCCTGCAGTATGGACACTCAACCAGTATCTCCAGGGAGTGAGGGGAACATAAAAAACTTCTCACGGGTCCCAAAGCCTGAATACTTGTGATGGGACAGGGTTGTCTCAAAGGCAATAAGACATGTGTGCCTCTCTTCTTCAACTATGAGAGAATCCTGGATTTTTACGTTTTAATGAACAAAACACAGTAAGCAGACCATGAGGGAATAAGTTGAAAGAATCATACATGCTCAGTATTTTAAAAAGAAAAACACATCCCATGAATTGAGACATCCACTACAACAGGAGCCACACACCACCAACAGCACCCTGGACTGGAGCTGAGAGGTGAAATGCAAACAAAAACGAGATGGAAGGGGAACAAGAAGATATAAGAATGTGTGAGGGTGTATGTGTGTGTGTGTGCATGCAAGTGTGAGTGTGTGCAGGTTGTGTGTACACATGTGGGTGTATATGTATATGCAGGTGTGTGTGTGCATATGGATGTTTTCCTCTTTTTCTTTACATTTTTCAGAATTCTGTTGACATTTCTGTCCCTGTGAATTGGAAGGAAACCTCCAAAATCCTGGATTCCCAATGAAGGACAACATCAGCAGAACTGAACCTGATGACAAACACAGGCGAACCAGCCTCTACCCAGTTCACTTGCCCTGGCCACGCTCCTTGCTCCCTCCCTCCCACCCCCTCCACATGCAGATATGCATACACACACACACACGCGCACACACACACACATACACGCACACACATGCACACACACGCAAGCTGCATATGCATTGAAAAGCAAGAAACCCTCCTGAGTTTCATTGGCTACCATGTCTATTAGACCTCAGACAGCCTCTGCCCTCTTGTAACATAGAATTTCCAGTGATTTCCAGGAAAATTCTCTCATCCCATCTTCTCCAGACTGCATCCCTTGTTCTGGGATGCCATTCCCTATCTTGGTCTCTGCATGATAGAGCCTGTCAATTCTTACAACTCCTTGACGGTCCCCATTTTACAGATCATCAATAACTAACTTTTGCATGGGAAGGATCTTGCCCCAGCCATACTCCTAGCCATTGTGGCTCTGGGGAAGGGTGCCCAGTAACTAGCAGGCACGTCTCGAAGAAGAGCCACTCTGTCTGCATGGCATCTGGATGTCCTTGCTCTACCTACAACCCCTCAGCCCTGAGAGGAACTTGTAGAACTCTGTGTTCCACAGGTCAGAGCCTCAAGACCTCACATTCTTCATGTTCTCTACATTTATCACACACCAGTAAACTGCACAACTCTTACAATACCAGATTTCAGATGCACTTTACCAAAAGGATTGCCCTCATGCTGAGCTGCACACCAATAACTAACACAGTCTGTTCCTGACCTTCACCTTCCCACACACCACGCGGGGATAATTGGTCCTCTGAATTCTGCTTGCAGGATGGCACCTCCTCCTCCATGCCTGTTCCCTCTGCAAGGATGCAGGCACTTGGGAAAGGAGCTATTCTTCATGTCCTCTTTGGCTGACTGAAGCTAGAGGTATCCTTAATTGAGGTTTAAGAATTGATTTATTCCCATGGGGGCTGGCACTGGGCCTGGTCACAGCATGTAGTGTATCACACTACATTGATCTGCCCCATGGGTCTGTTTGCCCCAGTGCCACAGGGCTTTCCAATGGCAAGAACTAAGGCCTACTGGTTTCTATAGCCTCAGTGACAAGTATAAAACACAGACCAGAGCAGGTCCTCAGTTAATGCTTCTTTCTGAGAGAAAGAAAATGAGACTAGAAGAGAGAAGGTTGATAATTCAAGTGTTATCATTTCAGATTTCCATTCCTGTGGATCTGAAAAGAACTTCCTAAGTCCAGGATTAGCAGTGAAGAACAATATCCACAGGACTGAGCCTGATGACACACACGGACAAACCAGCCTCTGGGACAATGCACTCCACCAGACACACATGGGAAATAAAAAGGAACAAGCTAAATGCATGTTGGAAATTAAGAAGCTACTTAGGAAGCTACTAAGAATCTGGATTACTGGCCTGGTCTCAGGACTGGACAGAAATAATCCTTTCTCCATTCTATTTGGACATAGTGGTGATAAGTTCTTGACCAACAGTAAAGATTACCTAACTGCCAGTTAGCAACAGAATGATGTATTAAGTGTCTGCTCCAAGTTTATCCCCATTTTCAATCCTATTGAATTCTCAGGTTCTGACACTAGGCTACATCAAGATCTCCCCTACTTTATAGGTGAAAAGCCACAGCATATAGAGATGTCTGTTCCTCGAATGTTGGTAGGAGTGCTGGGATTCAAACCCAGGGTGAGTGTCCATTCTCCTCATCCATGGCCACTCTACATATCCTCTCCTTCCATGCTTAAGACCTGTTTTCTCTTAACATTATCTCTTGAACAAGGTCTAGCCTGACAAAATCCCTCCTGAATTTCAATGTTATTGAACTCATTATCGGTCACCTAGAACTATATCTGTCACTAGAACAATTAATTCTAATCATAATTTCTAATGTTAGACACTAATAGGCAGTAATAGGCCATTTTCTTTAATATGTCACTGCAGACACTTTTGTTCCTAAGTTTTGCTCATGTATAATTATTTTCTTCAGGTAGGTTTTTAGGAAAACACTTAGAAGCTCCTATTGGTTATGCAAGAGTCCTGATAGGAATATTGTTTTCCTAAAAGGCACAGGTCTCCATCATCCCCACCAATACCTGAGTGTGCATCAGAGCTCTCTCACCAGATACTGGGCAGCACTGACTGTGTCATTCCTTTAACCTTTTCCAATGCAGATAGGGGAATAGTCTTTCTTGTTTTCCATGCATACCTTGACCCAGGAGGTTTATTGTTTATTATTTTCCATTGGGTATTTTTTTTCATGTGACCATCTGCAGCTGAGAGTCTTTATCACTGTTATAGCCAAGGATCTGGACAGGGTTTTATCCTTAACCATGTATTTATTCATTCAATAAATATTCACCAGATGTTGCTGCATGCCAGGTGCTGAGGAAAGGTGAGTAAATGATCCTGGACCCACCCTGGACAGGCACTAGCTGATTCCTGAGACATGATAAGATGTGTCCCAGAACAAAGCAGAATCAATTGAAGGAGTGTGGAACCAGAGGGGAAAGAGGGGGAGCTGTCACCTCACTGTTACAAGGGAAGGCCAGGCTTCCTAGGTTTCTTCCAATGGAGTTCAGAAGGCTGAGGAGAGCCAATGCATACAAATGATAAATGACTGAGTTACACTTGTATTGGGCCTCTGATACCAAAGCCCACACTTACCATGTGCTTACCAAATGTCTCAAACCATTCTAAGGGCTTCATATGCAATACAGTTATACATTCAACCTGAACAGCTGGCATAATTAATTCCATTTATAGAGTAAGGGACAGAGGAACAAAGGGCTTCTGTTACCTCCCTATGGGTCCACACCAAGGAGTCAGAATTGGGCCCAGGTGGTATGAACACAGCCCACAGTCTTGCTTTTTTGGGTGGCTGAAATCTCAGTGGAACAACATTGAAGACATAGAAAGAGAAAGGAAAAGGCAAAAGATCTAATCACACTAAGACAGTATGTCACTCAGGTCGCCAGAGGGAGAGTGCCAAGGCTTTACAGATGAAAGAACAGGGCCAAGGGAAGAAATCTCCAGACCAGACCCTAGAGGGCAGAGAACGGCCTTCTTGTGTCTGCCCATGTGTTAACTTATCTGAATCCATTCTGTTAAACCAACCTTGCATTCCAAGGGGAAACTTTCTCACTGGGCTGTGGTGCATAAATTCCTTTTATACATTGTTAGATTTGATTTGCTAATATTTTATTGAGGATTTTTATTGAGTATTCCCCCTGCTTCTCTCTTCTAGAAGAGATAATACAGAGAAGAATAGACTGCTGCCCAGGATAAATAGAGGGCTCATAAAAATGTCCACCGAGGGAGGCAGCCCGAGGTAGAATCCTTGCTACACCCCTAGTGACTGAAGGAACAGTTCTAATGTTCCATTCCTCCTCTGTGGTGGGGTAGGGAAGAATTGCAGGAAACATGCTGCATGGAGCTGGACACAGAGTTGGCGTGCAGGAAATGAGGGGTTCTGGTTCACAGAAAGATCTCCTTCACCCTCCTGAGCCCACCTCAGGTCACAGCCCCAGTAGGCAGGGACATCTCTCTGCCAGGAGTTAGCTGCCAAGTCGGCATTACACAGGCCACCATTTCACAGCCCCATTTCTGGGAGGCAGAACTCTGCTAGTAGGCCTTGCAAAGCCCAGCAATTAATTAATTTACTGAGCTGAGTTCCTTCTACTAACTAGCCCGTCACCATAGTAACTAGCATTCCTTATCCAGGGACCCAGAGAAAGGGGGAGGACAAACACTGGGCAGAAAGCAATTTAGAGAGAGAAAATGGGATTTGACATACTACTAGGGCAGCCTGAGCAGAATCTGTGTTCTCTGCCTGACTCAAGAGACTGGCCGCTGCTCACCCTGGGTGGGGTCCAGGCAATGTGGGAACTCTAGTGCCATGTTGCCAAGTGATAGGCCAGCTTCTGGGGTAGAATCTGGTCTGGCTGGCATATAAAACACATGCATGGGGTGAGTGGCTATAACCAGACCACCAAGCTGTGTTTTCCTTCCTGTCACGGCCTGGCTATGAGCTCTGGCACATACCTGCCAAGCTGTCTGTGGCACAAACTGTACTGTGAACAGAGAAGAAAAGTTAGGGCTGTGTGGCTTCTGTCTCAACAGGGCTGTCAGGGAGTCAGCCAAGACCACTGGAGACACTGCATTCTCGACTCAAAACTGTCCCATGTAGCATGAAACTTCTCCTCCTCCTTCAGTGAGTGGGAACTCTGAAGGAGTCCCATGCCAGCTCAGACGTTGCCGTTGTCATCATTTGGCTTCTCTCAGGGGCAGCAAGCAAAGTGGTGAAGATTTTCAATAAATAAAGAACCTCACCGAAATTCAAGTATTCAGATCCCCAGTTTCTGCACACAAAGTATCCAAACCAGGGCAAGGAACGTAGCTCTCCTGGACCCCAGACCCTCCACACACACACAGTACATCTCATAAGCTCTTTTGATTTAATTAATTAAGAATACAGAGCCTGACCATGGAGTATGCTCAGGGCATACTACTTTCCTGATACTTCCAGTCCTCAGTTTCTTCAGCCATAAAAGATAACAGTGTCTCTGAATTCAGACATCTGTGGAGTAGATGGCATGAGACAACTGATCGGATCATTTTAATGGAATACAACACTGTTACATTGTCACCACTGACTATCCAGAAGAGAGAGATCACCTGAGCTCCACAAAAGAAACAATTCACCTGACCCCCACAGAGACTTTGGCAGATGCTGACTCCACAAGGTGCCAAGTGCTGCTTTGTAACACTAATTCAGTGATGACATACACACACATTGTCGTTTGCATACTTCACTGTGTCCAGTGAGCTTGTAGCATAGTGGTACAGAAAGACACACACAAGCATGGTTACGTATCTATGTAGTCAGCATTCAAACAGAGAAGGGGATGCAGAATTGTGGGCGCTGAAAACACAAGCACCTGACTCAGGCCCAGGAGGTCAGAAGCCTTCCTGTAGAAGGTTAGGCCTGAGCTAGTCTTGTAGGGTCTGTAGGGGTCAGCAGGAAGACTGGGGCTGTCTTGCCAGAAAAAGCCTGAATCTTCTCTGTTCTCACTCCTCCCATGAGCATAAGAATAGGAATTTGAAGTAGAGGACAAAGGGAGGCTGGGACCTAGGTGGAATTCATGGGGCACAAGGCATGTGAGAGCTGAGACTTTAAGAACAAAAGAAGCCAGAAACTTGCACAGTGACCTGAGTACACATCTCAGAGACCCCCTAGGGCTGAGGGATGACTGCATGCATGGGAGTGGCATTACAGCTACTGATGTACTCTAGGGAAGTCTGCTGACAAAGAGGATTTGGGTCCACGGAGAAGGCCAGGCACACACTGGAAAGGGGTAACAGCACCAGCCACCAGCAAAGTGGTCCAGGGGCAGATGCTCTGGTGTTGAGAGACCTCAAGCAGATGGGGAGAGCACCCAGGAGGAAGCCGGATGACCACATGGAGCCTCTGGGAGCTGGTTGGTGAGGGGGTTGTGATGGGGGCAGCCCCTCCCCCGGGTGACAGAAGCAGGTAACCCCATCCAGGAACCTTGCGACCCCTGTAAGGCAGATAG